GGGCCCGTAGCATGTGTAGCTTCTTTTGCTACTAGAATAATCCGGCACTGTCACCGGCCACTATGTTTTCGTGGAAGAGGTAGTCTCCCCTCTTTGTCGCCATCCTTCTCGGTCCTGGAGTGCCATCCAACTCACTCCTGCTCATTGCTCCATCTCCTCTAGGGTTCATCCTCTCAAGCGCTTCCCTCCTTTGGCTGCTATTCCATCATCGGCTGGCATCCCTTCTAGTGATATGTCCTGCCCAAGGCTGCTTATTTTCCTGAATAAGAAGTCTCTATTGTGCAATTAGTCAACGATCCATGCGTTCCCCTTTCTGTTTGTCAATGGCATTCCCAGCATTTATCTCTCCGTACCTGTACATACTTTTCAGCTCCTGTTTCCACGTTCTTTATCCGAGTTTATATTTCTGATAAATGTCATGGCGGGTAATATGCAGGGAATTAATTTTGTTTTTCTTTACGCACACTAATGTCGTTGCTTTTAATTGTCAATGCAATTTTCCAAAAAGCACTCGAACTCTTTATTTCATCACTTTGATTCCAGTCAGTCTGCAACACCGTTGTGTTTTCCAGAAGGAGCCCTTTAACAAGTATTTATTTTGAATCAGTGAACATGTTTAATCAGTGAGCATGATCATGTTTATTTTCCACACCTCCCATTAGCACGGTTGGCTACGTATGGTGCGAAAGAAGTTCAAAATACACGTTATACGTCACTTAAACCTTGCTCATATTTATCATCTTCAGCTCCACCTTACAGCCTTCCCTGTCAAGCTCTTTAATCATAATAATAGGGTTTATCCTCTTTTTTTCTGGCAACAAAACTGAAACCTTTTTACAAGGATTCATGTTTTGTTATACATTCCATTATGCATTCTATTAAGTACGACACCAATGAAACCAAGCATTTATACTTAACTATCTTACGGTCATAAAAGCAAATGCCTCACCTGTGTGTGTGTGTTTGTGTGAGGGGGCGGTAGGAGGAGGAGAGATGGGTGGGTCGGGGTTGGGTGATGAGCTGGGCTCTGAATACTATGTGGAGGGAGTAACAGGCTGAGACAGGTGACTGTGATAAGGAGGATCTCAGGTTCAGGGCTGGCTGGCCTCGCCACCGGTCGCGCTGGCCCTGTGCGTGCGCCACCTCTCTCAGCCCTGGGCTCCCGTGCCGGTAGCCGGAGCGAGAGAGTCCATGATCATGCCATGGTGTTCCAGCGATACGCAGGGTGACTCCTCATCCGCTCGTCAGGTGAGCACGCTTCCTGTCAATCGATCATACCGGACCGTGCGACTGGAGTTGCGAAATGCGCATTTGCGTTTGCATTATAATGTTATAATGTATTTGTGAGCCCACCGAGTTCAAAGTGAATTGCATGTCTGGGTATCGCATGGCCAGCAACACACAGGATGGCTCCTAATCGTTTCGTCAGGTGAGCACGCTTCCTGTTAAACAATCGTGCTGGACCCTGCGACTGAAGGTCACTAAATGTGTGTTCACATTCGTGATAGTGAAAACTATCAAAGTAAATTACAGTTCGGTGTTATAGCCATTAGCCTGTTGTGGTTGCACCCGATTCAAGAGCCGAATGGCTCACAGGGCTATACCAAAATAAATAAACTGAAACTGAATTAAAAAGACAATCTTACCGGACGTTTTTTGTTTTGTTTACAAAATAAATAAACACTTAAAGGTATATGCTTGGAAGCTTTCGTGACTGCAGGAATTACTCTTTGGTTCTTTCGGTAAAGTCACGTAGAAATAAAATAATAATAGAATACGACGTTTCAATTGCAACACAAGCAATCGTCATTAGGTAGTAAACAAACCTAGTGAACTTAGAAATGCAATGCAATACAACACAGAGAGTCGGCTAACACAACAGTCAACACCCTATCTGGTTGATTACGTTCTTCCAAAGATTGCTAAATTTGAGAGAGAGACAAAACATAGACACGGAGACACACAGAGAGAGGCACACAACATAGACACACAGACAGACACACACACACAGAGAGACAACACAGAGACACACAGAGAGAGGCACACAACATAGATACACAGACAGACACACAAGCAGAGAGACAACACAGAGACACACAGAGAGAGGCACACAACATAGACACACAGACAGACACACAAGCAGAGAGACAACACAGAGACACACAGAGAGAGACACACAACATAGACACACAGACAGACACACACACAGAGAGACAACACAGAGACACATAGAGAGAGGCACACAACATAGGCACACAGACAGACACACAAGCAGAGAGAGGCAACACAGAGACACACAGAGAGAGGCACACAACATAGACACACAGACAGACACACACACACACAGAGAGACAACACAGAGACACACAGAGAGAGGCACACAACATAGACACACAGACAGACACACAAGCAGAGAGACAACACAGAGACACACAGAGAGAGGCACACAACATAGACACACAGACAGACACACAAGCAGAGAGACAACACAGAGACACACAGAGAGAGACACACAACATAGACACACAGACAGACACACACACAGAGAGACAACACAGAGACACACAGAGAGAGGCACACAACATAGACACACAGACAGACACACAAGCAGAGAGAGGCAACACAGAGACACACAGAGAGAGGCACACAACATAGACACACAGACAGACACACAAGCAGAGAGACAACACAGAGACACACAGAGAGAGGCACACAACATAGACACACAGACAGACACACAAGCAGAGAGACAACACAGAGACACACAGAGAGAGACACACAACATAGACACACAGACAGACACACACACACACAGAGACAACACAGAGACACACAGAGAGAGGCACACACATAGACACACAGACAGACACACAAGCAGAGAGACAACACAGAGACACACAGAGAGAGACACACAACGTAGACACACAGACAGACACACACACACACACAGAGACAACACAGAGACACACAGAGAGAGGCACACAACATAGACACACAGACAGACACACAAGCAGAGAGACAACACAGAGACACAGAGACACAGAGAGACACACACAACTTAGACACACAGACAGACACACAAGCAGAGAGACAACACAGAGACACACTGAGAGAGGCACACACATAGACACACAGACAGACACACACACAGAGAGACAACACAGAGACACACTGAGAGAGACACACAACATAGACACACAGACAGACACACACACACAGAGAGACAACACAGAGACACACTGAGAGAGGCACACAACATAGACACACAGACAGACACACAAGCAGAGAGACAACACAGAGACACACTGAGAGAGGCACACAACATAGACACACAGACAGACACACAAGCAGAGAGACAACACAGAGACACACAGAGAGAGACACACAACATAGACACACAGACAGACACACACACAGAGAGACAACACAGAGACACACTGAGAGAAGCACACAACATAGACACACAGACATACACACAGAGAGACAACACAGAGACACACAGAGAGAGGCACACAACATAGACACACAGACAGACACACAAGCAGAGAGACAACACAGAGACACACTGAGAGAAGCACACGACATAGACACACAGACATACACACAGAGAGACAACACAGAGACACACAGAGAGAGGCACACAACATAGACACACAGACAGACAAGCAGAGAGACAACACAGAGACACACTGAGAGAAGCACACAACATAGACACACAGACATACACACAGAGAGACAACACAGAGACACACAGAGAGAGGCACACAACATAGACACACAGACAGACAAGCAGAGAGACAACACAGAGACACACTGAGAGAAGCACACAACATAGACACACAGACAGACAAGCAGAGAGACAACACAGAGACACACAGAGAGAGACACACAACATAGACACACAGACAGACACACACACACAGAGAGACAACACAGAGACACACAGAGAGAGACACACAACATAGACACACAGACAGACACACAAACAGAGAGACAACACAGAGACACAGAGAGAGGCACACAACATAGACACACAGACAGACAAGCAGAGAGACAACACAGAGACACACAGAGAGAGACACACAACATAGACACACACAGAGACGGTCTCCGTGTCTGTGTTTTGTCTCTCTCTCAAATTTAGCAATCTTTGGAAGAACGTAGTCAACCAGGTAGGGTGTTGACTGTTGTGTTAGCCGACTCTCTGTGTTGTATTCCATTGTATGTCTAAGTTTACACGGTTTGTTTTCTACCTGATGACGGTTGCTTGTGTTGCAATCGAAACGTCGTATTCTATTTGTTATATTTATTTTCTTTCTACGTGACTTTACCGAACGAACCAAAGAGTTCTTAAAAGTATCTCATGAAGCCAGCGTTTGTGTTACTATTCAGACGTGGAATCTACGTCAGAAATTACATTGTCAAAAGTGTTCGATGTCCTGTGAATATCATATCGTAAAAGCTCATTACAAGAGTTCAATAACTTGGATATTAACAAAATAACAAGGTCTCTACAGAAAAACAAACACTTCAGTTCAGTTATCACATTTCTGGATAGCTGCACTTATTGTATTTAAATATTACTGCAGAGGGTAAATTCAGCGTGGATAGGATACATCATGAAGTAGCACAATGACAATTGTCTATTTTATATGATCATCGTATACTCGTACTAAACCTAAATGATAGTTTAGGCTTTAAAATAGCAATAACCTATTAATAAGCCAACAGCTGCCAACCCTGTGTATTTCTGCTCCCTAAACTCAACAAAAAATGCCACACATCAATTTATATCCACCCCCCCCCCCCCCTTTATATTTGCAACACATTGTAATTTTAAGTTTATTTTTAACACTGTTGTGCTTTGAGGTTCTATGGGAAACATTTAATTAAAAACAAAATTGTTGGGGCTTTATATGTAAATGTTGTACAACCTCTTTAAGCAATTTTTCAAGACTTGTGGTATTTGATAAATTAGTTACCCTCTATTAAATGCAACATCGAGCACTGTAATTCTATAATTACTAAGACAGTATTGTACTCATATATATTGCACGCAAATGTACCTAAATGCACTAAAATTGTTTACACGGATTCCCTATTCACAGGTCTGACGAGCATTAAAATGGACAAAATGGGGAGTGTGATCCTCAGTTCCACGGTCCAGTACGTGCTGTTCATACTGCTCAGTGCCAGGAGCACTGTCAACGCTCTTCACGGGACTACCGTTAGCCAGTGCTTCAGCGAATGCACGTGCTTCCAAGGTGCAAAGTTTGTCAACTGTACGGCGGCAGGCCTCTCCGCCATTCCGAGTGAAATTCCTCAAGACGCGGAGCACGTGGATTTTTCCAACAACAACATCACCCGCATCGGTCCAGGAACCATGACCCTCCTGCGGAGGTTGCACATCCTCGTGGTCAGAAACAGCAACGTCGCACACATCGCAGAGAGCGCCTTCCAGGACCTGGACAACTTGCGGAAGCTGGACCTGAGCGGTAACAGAATAAAAGACCTCCCGAATGGATTCTGCCACGGCCTGTCCGAATTGACCGAGCTGAAATTCACCGACAATGAAATTATGAACGTATCGTACGCGCAGTTTCATTGTCTGGGACAGCTGGAAAGCCTCAAATTGGACAGCAACATGATAGCACACGTTGAAGCGGGTGCCTTCCGTAGTCTGACTCGACTTCGCCACATGAATCTCAACAACAACTACCTGGAGGTGCTCACAGATGGGATGTTCTCGATGCTGCAGCACTTGGAGGTCCTTGAACTTCAGAACAACAGCATTGCCACAATCGAGCCCACCACCTTTGTGTCTCTGCGCAGCTTGATAATTTTGGATCTGAGCTACAATAACATGAGTGACATAACATTTAAGGTAACTGAAACTGTGTGTTTGCTCTGGATAAACAATGCACCCACCTTTGGAGAGCAAAACAAAATCTGTGCTCACACGTGGCATGATTGGTTATGATGGAAACATCCTCAAGGAATATACACTGTAGCCCAAAAGTCAGGACGCAAAGTGTTATTATATTTTAACAAATCACAAAGGGTTATTTCATGTATTTTAACCAATGTTAAAACTGACTTCCCTTAACATTAATACACACATGAATTCCCTTTTGAAATGTATTTAGGACTTATTTTTAAGGTTACAGCTGGCTTCTTTAGCATAAATAAACGAATTTAACTCGTTTTTCTTTAGTGAAATTTAGTTCCATTTTTAAATGCAATTTGAAGAGGAACTATACAAATAGATATTAATAATGATAAAGATCAAATATTAAATGTAAAACTACACAATTGAAAGGTTTTAATGCTAGTGTTAATCCAATTGGGTCACTCTTTATTAAAATACATACATTCTTACACCGCTTGCCACACCTTCAGATCAAATGTTGTCATGATATACAGTATACAATGGAACATAGTTTATTACGTAACATACATGTGTTTGTCTTACCTAATAAAACACTAAAAACTATTTTATATCAACTTGCCTTTGGAATTCCTTGACCAGTGTTTTCCAGTCTGATTAAGCAGTGAAACCTCAGACTGGTTTCAACTTTAACTGAGTCTCATCAACAGAGTTTAGCCTGGAAAACATTGGTCCAGAAGGCCCATATGCTGATGGACCAAAACCTTCTTTTCTTCCATGGCCTACGACCCATCAGCACAACAAATAAGACATTTTCTTTCCAAATGTATATTTTCAAATAGTAAAATTTTACTTTTTGAAGCCTACACTGAGAAGAAAAAGTACCCATTTAAAATATATTATCGTCAAATCAAACCACGTCCTTCTAAATACAACCAATGCAATTTATTTCAGTTAATAACCGCGCTGTGGCTTTAAAAGTTCAGCTCGCGCGTGAATGCCAGAGTGTTTCATGCCTGCCCTGTCCATCCCTACGTGCCACGCAGGTGTTCATGAACATCGACACGCAGGACACGCAGATTCAGCTGTCCCACAATCCCTGGGCGTGCGACTGCGAGCTGCAGCGAGTGTTCAACAAACTGGAGCAGGTGCGCCGCCTGGCCATCGAGGACTATGGCCACGTCGAGTGCCACTGGCCCCCGTCGTTGCAGAACAGGACGCTGGCCAGCATGGACAGTCAGCTGTGCATCGCCGAGACGGCCACAATTCTCATCATAACCATCACCGTGGCCGTCGCCATCGTCGCCGCCATCGTCATGGCTGAGCGCAACCGCAAGAAGCGCACGGGCAAGCATTGGACGGAAGACAACGATATGCCCTGAGTGGACATCCCCAACAGAGGGAGGTTGCATTATTGTGCGTAATATCTCTCCGATGTAACACGTGTTGTTGGGAATGCTGTCCCGGCATTTTGCCCCACATGCTGTAAAGTTTCTCGCGTGCAACCGGACAACACATTGGAGAGAGGGGGGTTGTATTTACTGTTTTCCTCAATATCCAACTCTTTTATAAGTTCGGGGGCACTCGAATCTGAGGGTTCACAAGGTAGTGGCAGGTTGCGGTCAGTGACAAGAGGGCTTATTGGTCAATGGCTGGAGTTTGTACTTTGCTCATGAACAGGTTATGAATGCACACCCTATAGATGTACGACTCTGAATCTATATAGGCTATCATGCTAGATAATTGTGCTGGTATTTAAAAATGCATTTTTTTTGTAATCTGTAAGATGTGCAAAACAAAAGATCGAGTAAATATTCCAAGAAAGGAAAATAAGTGAATTCAAGTAAAGCAATCTTTTACGTGATGATACAATTGTACTAAATGGGATTTGAAAATGGGTGAGAGTGTTATGATGCTTGTAATTGTATTGCATTTTAATAACGGAGACTTCTTAGTGGGTTATGTAGAAGAAAATATAAAAGGATGGGTAAATTGTATTATATGTTTTAAAAAACCGTTTCCCCATACTTTTTGTGAGTATCCCGCTAACATTAGCTTTGTGTTTTATGAATGAAGACAGCAAAAACAGCTTCGTAATGGACAATATAAATCCTCAGGGGGTTTCACTTTGAGACAAAGACCATCTATATTTTATGCATTCGGTACATTGTAGCCACCGAGAAGTGCTGACTGGCAGTGATAATGATGAATAACTTACACGGTTTTTTTCAGTCAAAATTATGGTTCACGATTTCCGAATTGGCTCGGACCACATTAATGATCTGACCCAAATTTGTGTTGTGAAAGATTCTGATTTCCTGGATTGTTACTCAAACTTCCTGGGTTTGTCTTGATGATGTGTGAAGTAGTTTAAAACGAAACGTCGTATCCCATCACTAAATTTGATTCTGATGATTGTGAGGCAACTTATCGGGCAACTGAAACAATAACAATTGGTGTATACATGTGTGTCGGGTGGTTGAGGGTTCTTAACGACACAAATTGTATCATATCGTTACATGGCCTAACTCAAATATCAATTATGAATCATAATTGCGCATATTTAACACAGTTCCTTTGTTGCCCTCTGTGCACAATTACACAAACTGTGGACAATATATTAATAATATCTTAATTGCCCATCTATTTAGCGACTGCAGCCACCATGAATAATGCAACATCAGGCAAAGTAATTGAGCATAGGTAGTCACAATATCAGGTGCAGCCATTAATTAGAGATAGCTATCAACAACATCTACTTAATTCCCTCTAAAATACTGTACAATAAAGTATTTAACTGCATTCGCATTCATTTTTATTCTTTTGCATTTAAGTCCAATAATATTTCTGAAATTCATATCTTCGGTATGTGCAATAGTAAAATGGGTAGGCATTTAAGACAAATAACATTCTCTGATAATGTCTTCCCCATGTATTTAAAAAAATACACACTAAACCTCAAACAGTTGCATTTCTAGTATATATTTTATTCTGAGCATTACTGGCATTGTGAACAGCTCAACATGCATGTTGCCATGAAAATATTTGGTTGAAAACTGCTATTCAGAGTACAGTACTCTTATATTCTATTTCCTCATTTTATTTTTATTCACAGCCGTTTGTCAATCGACTGTTGAATGAAAACCTCCACGCACAGTGTCAGTCATGGGGATTGTTTGACCATACTTCATCATGCTGACGGGTGCAGGTTGGTGAAGGAGAGATTGGCAGGACCGGATCAGATATCGCTCACCACTTATGTTAACCTTGGCTGGGAATTGAATTGAGGTCACCAGGTTATTAGTATAACGGGCAAAACCACTGCGCTGCGCTATTTTACAATCGAGCCCTTCATATTGTACTGAATTTTAAAAGGAAATGTTTTCATTGTCAATAGGAAAAAAGTAAAATGTACAAACTTACGCAGTACTTTTCGATGTAAAGCTTTCGTGACTGCAAGGATTCATCTTCTTTGGTTCTTTCGGTAAAGTCACATAGAATGAGGATAACATAATAAATTGATAAAATAAAATAACACAATAATATTCTCACGACGTTTCGGCCACAACACAAGCGGCCTTCATCACCTGATGAAGGCCGTACTGTAAACAAACATGTAATTCTTAACTTTTATCAACAATTGCTGTAAAAAAAGTGTGACAAATGTGTCATTGTTTTCTGTTGATTAAATAGGGTGGGTTCTCCAAATTCAGTAGTTCACATCAGCTTTTATTATTTACAGCGGATTAAAAACAACGATCGTTTTCCCCATGTCAAATCGTGCCATTAACTTTTGCCCATAACCAAAAATCCGTCATGGAGTTGAAATAAAATGCTGGGACGCAGGAGAGAACGCACGCACGGGTGTGGCTTTCAAAGGCTCAGACTTTACGTGTGGCACAATATTTGGGATGAAGTTCTAAACCGACCATGGCCATCGATGACGGATGCGGGAAAAAAAAGGTTTTTTTTATGATGACAATACTGAAATAGCATTGACAAGTATTGTGCTTCCACCACAATCAGAGGGTCACAAATAGAATGTCTGAAACACCTGTGGTGTAGTCAAACGGTGCTGCATTACTTAATGTGGAATTATTCTTATTTTAAATCTTCAAAAAAAATCGTAATAATGGTATTTAACCCAGCCATCTCTCTGCAGCATTGGGCAAGAATCCCATTGTCGGGTCAGAAATTATACTGGCTGCGCATTACCGCGCCCGGATGTTATTCAACCCTATGAAGGACAATAGCAGTAGCTTTTCACGAAGCATCTCAGCAATTTACAAAAACATGCAATCATACTCTGCACTATTATGCAACTTGGTGCATTTAAAGAACAAAGCAAATGAGGCTAAATACCTACTAAGGTGATTGTTCCATTTCCTGAAAGCCAGTTAATGATTTATTGCAGCAATTAGTGTGAATAATACATGAATGGAAACCAACATTTGTCTCTTCCCACAATAATTATCTCCCCTATACAGCTCTGCTATCTCCCTATACAGCTCCACTATGTTCCCTATACAGCTCCGCTAAGTTTCTATACAGCTCCACTACGTCCCCTATACAGCTCCACTATGTCCCCTATACAGCTCCACTACGTCCCCTATACAGCTCCACTATGTCCCCTATACTGCTCCACTACGTCCCCTATACTGCTCCACTACGTCCCCTATACAGCTCCACTACGTCCCCTATACAGCTCCACTATGTCACCTATACAGCTCCGCTATGTCCCCTATACAGCTCCACTATGTCCCCTATACAGCTCCACTATGTCCCCTATACAGCTCCACTACGTCCCCTATACAGCTCCACTACGTCCCCTATACAGCTTCATTATGTCCCCTATACAGCTCCACTACGTCCCCTATACAGCTCCATTATGCCCCCTATACAGCTCCACTACGTCCCCTATACAGCTCCGCTATGTCCCCTATACAGCTCCACTACGTCCCCTATACAGATCCGCTATGTCCCCTATACTGCTCCACTACGTCCCCTATACAGCTCCATTATGTCCCCTATACAGCTCCACTACGTCCCCTATACAGCTCCATTATGTCCCCTATACAGCTCCACTACGTCCCCTATACAGCTCCGCTATGTCCCCTATACTGCTCCACTACGTCCCCTATACAGCTCCATTATGTCCCCTATACAACTCCACTATGTCCTCTATACAGCTCCACTATGTCCCCTATACAGCTCCGCTATGTCCCCTATACAGCTCCGCTATGTCCCCTATACAGCTCCGCTATGTCCCCTATACAGCTCCACTATGTCACCTATACAGCTCCGCTATGTCCCCTATACAGCTCCACTATGTCCCCTATACAGCTCCGCTATGTCCCCTATACAGCTCCACTATGTCCCCTATACAGCTCCACTACGTCCCCTATACAGCTCCACTACGTCCCCTATACAGCTCCACTATGTCACCTATACAGCTCCGCTATGTCCCCTATACAACTCCACTATGTCCCCTATACAGCTCCGCTATGTCCCCTATACAGCTCCACTACGTCTCCTATACAGCTCCACTACGTCCCCTATACAGCTCCGCTATGTCACCTATACAGCTCCACTATGTCACCTATACAGCTCTGCTATGTCCCCTATACAGCTTCACTATGTCCCCTATACAGCTCCGCTATGTCCCCTATACAGCTCCACTATGTCCCCTATACAGCTTCACTATGTCCCCTATACAGCTCTGCTATGTCACCTATACAGCTCCACTATGTCACCTATACAGCTCCACTATGTCCCCTATACAGCTCCACTATGTCCCCTATACAGCTCCGCTATCTCCCCTATACAGCTCCGCTATGTCCCCTATACAGCTCCACTATGTCACCTATACAGCTCCGCTATGTCCCCTATACAGCTCCTCTATGTCCCCTATACAGCTCCATTATGTCTCCTATACAGCTCCACTATGTCCCCTATACAGCTCCGCTATCTCCCCTACACAGCTCCGCTATGTCCCCTATATAGCTCCACTATGTCCCCTATACAGCTCCACTATGTCCCCTATACAGCTCCACTATGTCCCCTATACAGCTCCACTATGTCACCTATACAGCTCCGCTATGTCCCCTATACAGCTCCACTAGGTCCCCTATACAGCTCCATTATGTCCCCTATACAGCTCCACTATGTCCCCTATACAGCTCCACTATGTCCCCTATACAGCTCCACTATGTCCTCTATGCAGCTCCACTATGTCCCCTATACAGCTCCACCACGTCCCCCATACAGCTCCACTACTTCCCCTATACAGCTCCACTATATCACCTATACAGCTCCACTATGTCTCCTATACAGCTCCACTATGTCACCTACACAGCTCCACTATGTCTCCTATACAGCTCCACTATGTCGCCTATACATCTCCACTACGTCCCCTATACAGCTCCGCTGTCCCCTATACAGCTCCACTACGTCCCCTGTACAGCTCCGCTATCTTAACAATCACAATGTTTTAATAATACAGTTTTCATAATGTAATGGCCTCTTAAAGAAACACTTTTTTGCGTGCATACGATCAAATAATAATCCGACTAAGGACAGAGCAGTGGTAGAATACTTAGTGCACCGCTCTTTGAAACCTGAGAGTGACATATCTGACCTTGTCCTTGGTTCCGTCTGACCAGCAGAGTGAAATATCATGAAAACAGATCATGTAAATGACCAGCGTGGAATGGAGAGGCCTTCACCCATCAGTGGGTCGGCAAAGGGCCCGAAAGTTACTGTATTAGTTTAATAATATAATCCTTCTGTAGAAACATAAAGTGCATCAGACCAGTTTTTTTTCCCGATTCACTGTAGATGTATCAGACATATTTGTGAAATCAGTGTTTTGACCGTTAATATGAAAACCTGAGGTGTATTATAAATACGGTTGATGTTTAGGCATGTAATCCCTTTTTGCATTTAAGTTCTCATTTGAGTGTAATCCCAATGTGTCGGATTAAATAAAATCTCCAAATACAACTAAGCAAACATTACTGTGTGTATATATAACAAAGCTGCTTATGATGCTTGGAAAATTTTTATTCATTTGATCAGAAGAAGCAAGGTTATTCAATTTGACATGTGAATTGAAATGAATGAGATTACTTCCATTGAACAGCATTGTACAATTCAATCAAGCACTTATCTTGTAACATTGCAATGGTTTATTTTACTTTGCGATTTTTACATTCCATTATAACTTTTTTTCTATTTTATAACAAAGACATTCTTAACCCCACTGCCTGTCCATCCAGACATACACAGTAAATGTATACAACCAGAGTCATTTGACAGGGAGCGTGTGGTAAAGTGTGAGTTGTCGTGTAGCGATTAGCACCTTGCGCTACGAACCCAGCGACCTGAGTTCGATTCCTTTTCATGGCTAACACGAGAGGCAATTACCTGAACTGGTCCTGGGCCTCTCCTAGGTCGACTCAGCCTCAAATAAGTACAACCTTGTGGCGTTATATATATTTCCATGATTCCCATCAAACTCCTCAACCAGGTGTGCCCTATCCTATCCCATTTTTTCCCGACTTCTCTCACCAGACCCCACAACATAACACAGAACGCGCTTGCCACAAATGAACCACAACACCTTGCTGATTTCATTACAGAGCATAAACCATCACGCAAACTCCGGTCATCCTCGCAGCAGCTTTTGGCTAGCCATCGAACAAAAACGCTCCCGCGGCCGTCTGGAACGCTCTTCCTTCCGATATTAAGACGCCACTTGATCTATGCAATTTTATTTCTAGATTTAAAGTCATGCTTTTAAACTACTTTTTGCAACATACATACAAACAAAAGCCAACTCCACACACTCTTATATTCCCACACAAAGCTTGCCAGGCACTTTTAGGTCTCTAACGGGCATAATATCCTCCAACACTCACACTTGCAATTATATTGCCTTCAACTCTTTATGATATCCGCAGTAGTGTAAAGTATAACTACGCATAATCATCATCATCATTATTATTATACGTGTTTTCGTAAGCACCCATGAAAGATGACATGCCACATAAGGCAGGCACCAACAAAACGATTGCATTTACCAGCTGGCTTGAGTGGTCACTGCAGCGAGCGCTCATATTTGTCAATCAGCAAAACAGAAAGGAAAGCTACATTTTAGGAATGTAGCAGATTCCAATACCGATCACAACAAGTGCACATATTTGGGAACATGGGCCCAACTGCCTTAGGCTCATTGCACAGTATGCAAGCTACCAGAGTTAATTAAGAAAGTGCATGGAAAGTTGCATCTGAATGCAAGCCGAGGGAAACGTCGGGATTAGGGCCAGCTGCTGAGAGACAAGATGAGTGATGCCTTTGTGTGCAGATGATGACCCTTCTAAGCCAATGACAGAACCAGTCCTGACAGCTTCCACCTTTACTTTTGCCCCTATATTTCAGTGGCTGCTGACATTAAGAACAAAGCCTTACACAGAAGCTGTTTCCTCCGTTAATGAATACAGTAGTTGGGCATTCAGTGCATGCACTCAAC